AATGGTGAAGGTATGCTCTTCACCATATACATCTATTTGTTGGTGAAGGTATGCTCTACACCAAATACATCTATGTGTTGGTGAATGTATGCTCTTCACCATATACATCTATTTGTTGGTGAAGGTATCCTTTACACCATATACATCTATTTGTTTGTGAAGGTATGCTCTAAACCACACATACCTATTTGTTGGTGAAGGTATGATCTACACCATATACATCTATTTATTGGTGAAGGTATGCTCTACACCATATACATCTATTTGTTTGTGAAGGTATGCTCTACACCACACATACCTATTTGTTGGTGAAGGTATGCTCTACACCATATACATCTATTTATTGGTGAAGGTATTCTATACACCATAATTTTAATACACTGTTTTTTTTCTCTTGGCACTGAAAGTTAAAAAGAAAGTTGTATTTGGATTTATATTTTGTTCTGTGGAGATTTCTCAGTTCTAAAATGCTAGTCAAGCATAAAAGCTAGGCCTTGGTGACCTATAATCTGCATCACTGCAAATCAGGCGGACCTATATATTATCATCAGTGAATGTCCTCCATTATATCAGGCGGGCCTGTATATTATCATCAGTGAATGTACTCCATTATATCAGGCGGACCTGGATATTATCATCAGTGAATGTCCTCCATTAAATCAGGCGGACCTGTATATTATCATCAGTGAATGACCTCCATTATATCAGGCGGACCTGTATATTATCATCAGTGAAGGTCCTCCATTATATCAGGCGGACCTATATATTATCATCAGTGAACGTCCTCCATTATATCAGGCGGTCCTGTATATTATCATCAGTGAAGGTCCTCCATTATATCAGGCGGGCCTGTATATTATCATCAGTGAGTGTCCTCCATTATATCAGGCGTACCTGCATATTATCATCAGTGAATGTCCTGTATTATATCAGGCGGACCTGTATATTATCATCAGTGAAGGTCCTCCATTATATCAGGCGGGCCTGTATATTATCATCAGTGAGTGTCCTCCATTATATCAGGCGGACCTGTATATTATCAGCAGTGAATGTCCTCCATTATATCAGGCGTACCTGCATATTATCATCAGTGAATGTCCCCCATTATATCAGGCGGACCTGCATATTATCATCAGTGAATGCCCTCCATCATATCAGGCGGACCTGTATATTATCATCAGTGAATGGCCTCCATTATATCAGGCAGACCTGTATATTATCATCAGTGAGTGTCCTCCATTATATCAGGCGTACCTGCATATTATCATCAGTGAATGTCCCCCATTATATCAGGCGGACCTGCATATTATCATCAGTGAATGCCCTCCATCATATCAGGCGGACCTGTATATTATCATCAGTGAATGTACTCCATTATATCAGGCGGACCTGTATATTATCAGCAGTGAATGTCCTCCATTATATCAGGTGGACCTGTATATTATCAGCAGTGAATGTCCTCCATTATATCAGGTGGACCTGTATATTATCAGCAGTGAATGTCCTCCATTATATGAGGCGGACCTGTATATTATTATCAGTGAATGTCCTCCAATATATGAGGCGGACCTGTATTTTATCATTAGTGAATGTCCTCCATTATATCAGGCGGACCTGGATATTATCATCAGTGAATGTCCTACATTATATCAGGCGGACCTGTATATTATCAGCAGTGAATGTCCTCCATTATATGAGGAGGACCTGTATATTATCATCAGTGAGTGTCCTCCATTATATCAGGCGGGCCTGTATATTATCATCAGTGAAGGTCCTCCATTATATCAGGCGGACCTGTATATTATCATCAGTGAATGTCCTCCATTTCAATTCATTGTGTTGACCAGTATGTTCTGACAAGTGAGTGTCATCCCTTTTAGCTCCATCGGGTAGACTTTTACGTTCCCAACGATGAACGTCATCCCTTTCAGCTCCATTGTGTGAACTTTTACGTTCCCTGCGGTGAACGTCATCCCTTTCAGCTCCATTGTGTGAACTTTTACGTTCTCATCAGTGAATATTAATGTTTTTTTCTCTTATACGTATTGCCGTCCATCAGTATCAAATCTGACTTTGGATTGTTTGTCTTAGTGGGTTGACAATGTGGTGCATCGTTACCTTCTTTGCTGTAAATTATTACACTAGATAGCATTAGGGGATGTGTTGATTAGTATGAAATATCGATTACATTATATTGTGATTGAAGTGTTAGGAAAGTGTTTAGTTGAGTTATAACTGTTCTTTTGTATTATTATTAAACAATTAAAAGGTAAAGGAGGTTGATAGGTGTTAGCAATTAACCAAAGGAAAGTTCAATAATTAGATTCAACGTTATATAACGTGGTACATGTCTCTTATTTGTGATAATTTATTTTGCCGACAGCATAAACACGTTAATGGTTTCATAAAGTATTAAGTAATGTTTTATAATTCATACTGCGTCATATTTCATTAAACGGTCAAATGAATTGTTAAAAAAAGTAACAAAAGTTATATAACATGGGGAAATCGGCCAAATGATGTGCTTAACTGTTTTACACGATGTATTCTACCCCATATAAATGTTAAGGAGGCATGCTAAGTGTCTAGTAACGGCCGTCATGGACACAGCAATGGTCCATGAAGGCTCGTTAAGATATTGATTGGGAACGTGCTCAGAGGTGCGTTAGAAATATCCCCCCTCCCGGCAATCATTTACCAGCTAGCACCTCAATCAAATAGTCACCGAACAGCCACACCACTGGGCTACAATGTGATTTGATAATGGTCGAGAAGAGGAAGTCATGATATGTATTTTGCCTTTGCAACAAATCAAAACATGTCGACTGGAATGAGAAAATACCTTAGTCGAAGTTCTACATTTGCTGACGGTGCAGATTACTGTGCGTGATTGCACTAGTTAACAATGCGCATGTGTTGCCATGGACTATTGTCCTTTATCAGTTTAACCAATCTTAAACAACAGGAGTTATCATGATGCGCATTATGACCGCATTTTTTAAGTGTTTCTCTTCAAGTGTCTGATCAAGATTGGTACCAGATCTAGGATAAAATATTGACGCTTTTAAGATGTTTGTTGCGTTAGTGTGCTCATCGTTATGTATGTAAATAACCGCCCAGGCTGGAGTGTCCGTCTACCGGCTACGATAGCTGCCTGATGACGGCAGTAAAGGTGTTCTATTACTTTAACTCCTTTGTAACTGTCAGATGTATAATACATGGAATATTTTCAGATCTTGTTTTCTTTCTCCACTATGATTGGTTAGGATACACGTCACATTACTGCAACAAACGCCAGTAGTAATTAATTACGGTGCTGTAATTGGTGGCCGCGAAATACGTGGAAATCGGCTGGGCGACTTGGGATGCGGCAGTAAATGAACCGTGCATTTCTAGAAGCTACAATAGTCGGCACACCTCATACAGACGTCCATTGTGCTCTGTGCCACACGCAGCAAGGTGAGTACCCTCGATTTTTGTACAATATATTCTCAATAACGCTTCAAATCTTCTCTTCGCATGCAAGGTATGGTGCTCTTGAACATTATAATAGACAACTAATTAATATATTTTTTAATAGATGTTCATTTTTATAACTTTTACTTGTCGTGGTTTGGTTTTCACAACAATCGCTATGCGGGATGTTCCTGAGTACCAGGCTATTTACACCATTGCTTACGTACTTAATAGGTCACGTGGTCGTTACGAGCGACAACATTAACACTTCCTTCGTTAACCGCACCCAGTGCACCCCATTATCGACATTTCTCGATACAATTAACAGGAACCCTCGTTACCCTGACAGCTAATCGCGCCGTGATCATTGCGGCGACAAAAGTGAAAATAGAAGTCTAATGACAACCTTGCTATATTTTGAGTGAAATTGACTATATTCATGTTGGGTAGTGATTGATAATATATTTTTCACAATCATATCAAGTTTAACATGATCAAATCACAGCCGATATGTCAGCCGGTGCAGGTAACCCTCGGACGTTGTAAACATCATGACGTTACTGGAAGGTATACATTGTAACAATATATCTTTTGTATGAACACACTGATGAGCAAACATTAACTTGATTTAAACATTTTTTATTTGTCATTCAACAAAAAGGATTAGGCACAAGGTATCTCAACTTAGAAACGCCCTCTCCAATACATTTCATTATATTGATTACAAGACAACAACAACAAATATATTTATAATATATATGAACAAAGAAGAAAGGAAGGGAAAAGGGAAGAAAAGAAATTTAGAAGAATAAGAAAGAGAGATGATAGGATAATACTACTGACCTTAAAATCTGTTACTATTTTTAATGTAGGTTTGGACTATATGGAAGATATTTTCATTGTCTTCATCTGACAAAGTTGGAGAACCGTACATAATAAAATTTAGAGAAATATTACAATAACGTGAGATATCATCAATCAAAATTTGTCTTTGTCTGATATACAGCATACAATCAAAAAAGTAATGGACTGCATTTTCACACTCATTTCCACATGCACACATTGGATCACCTACAATATTAACTCTATACAAATCATAATTTAAACTACTACATGAATGACGCAATCGTGTATGTAAAATATTTAGTTTTCGATTTCCTACATGAAAAAAAAATAGGCAACAAGTAACCTTGGTTACGCTTAATCGATGATTTAAAAATGTTAACGGATGGCTGCTCTCTGACGGTATTTGGTAAATCGTTCCATAGTCTTATAGAAGAAGGAATAAAGGATTGGAATGAACTAGACAGACAGAAATTGGGAACAGTGTAGTTTTCAGTATTTCTCAAGTTGTAGCTATTGCGATCGCATACTTTAGGAGGAAGAATGTTAGTTAAATAAGAAGGTGTTTGTTTATTATGGAGTTTGTACATTAGGGAAAGTTTCTTAAGTTTACTTCTTTCAGATAGAGGTTCAAGTTGGGATTCTTGATAAAGTGATTGTTTACTAGAAAAAGAGGGTTTTTTACACACATTTCAATATCAGCATGAGAAGACGAAGAATAAATCAAAGAGGTATCATCAGCAAATAAGCGTGAAATACAATTTAAATTATCGACAATATCATTAATATCAACCAAAAATAACAGAGGACCTAACACACTTCCTTGTGGTACACCAGCATTTGTGTAACTTATATTAGAATACACACCTTTAACAAGAACCTGTTGTTGTCTGTTTGAAATGTAATTTTTAAACCAATGTAGTAAACCATCTCTAATAACATAAGCATGTAATTTTTGTAAAAGACCCCTATGCCAAACTCGGTCAAAAGCCTTCGATATATNTTTTTACACACATTTCAATATCAGCATGAGAAGACGAAGAATAAATCAAAGAGGTATCATCAGCAAATAAGCGTGAAATACAATTTAAATTATCAACAATATCATTAATATAAACCAAAAATAACAGAGGACCTAACACACTTCCTTGTGGTACACCAGCATTTGTGTAACCTATATTAGAATACACACCTTTAACAAGAACCTGTTGTTGTCTGTTTGAAATGTAATTTTTAAACCAATGTAGTAAACCATCTCTAATACCATAAGCATGTAATTTATGTAAAAGACCCCTATGCCAAACTCGGTCAAAAGCCTTCGATATATCACAAAAAATTAGACAAGTATGTTTTTTTTCTTCTAATGAACAACATATATTATGGTAAATTTCTATTAGCTGATGGACAGTGGAATGATGAATCATAAAACCAGATTGTTTTTCGTAAAATAAAGAATGATCAAGGAAAAAATTATAGATGTGTTTAAATACAACCCTTTCAAAAACCTTACCTATACAAGACAACAAAGTAATTGGTCGGTAATTTGACACCAAGTGTCTATCACCCTTTTTGAACAGTGGTAAAATAATACCATGTTTCCATATTTCAGGGAATATTTTAGAATTTAGTGACATATTAAAAAGAATTGACAATGGCTTACATATAGAATTCGCTGTAAATTTTAGCATATGATGACTTATAGTATCATGACCAGATGCTTTTCCTAATTTCAGAATTTTCAAAATATCACATATTTCATCACTTTCAACCACAATAGAATCAAGTACAGAATCAGTTCTGGAATCAAAACTGGGTAAAGATTTGCCAATATCATCTATGTTTGAGATAGAGCTAAAATAATTATTTAGAATATTTGCTTTCTTATCATCATCATATTCAATATTTGCATTGCAAGGATTAACTAGAGGTGGAATAACCTCCTGAGAACCCGACTGTTTTAATAATTTACGCACTAGTCTCCAATATGACTTAGGATTACTGGTATTAAGATTATCTATAATATCACCAACACTATTATAAAACATTTCTCTTGCATATTTTTTCATATTATTAACCTTATTTCTTTGTCTTTTAAATTTCTCTAAGTTGGATATGGACTTAACACGTTTAACGGCGTTATGTAACCGGTCTCGTAACTGAAAAGCTTTTCTTAATTGGGAATTCATCCATAATTTATCACGAGGTCTTATATAAACTGTTTTTTTGGGTATACATTCTTTAGCAAGTTTCAAAAATTGTTCAGTAAATTCAACACATGCTACATTAACGGAAATAAAGTTTTGAAAAAATGTAGGCCACTCAAAAGTTTCTATTAAAAAATTTAACCTATTAAAATCGGCATGTTTATAGGCCCAAATTTCTCGAGTGTAGGTACAAGAGAGATTAACAGGTATAGACAAAAATGCAATACATGCATCATGATCACTTATATTACGATCAATCGGAATTACATACGAATCAGTACATTTGGTAGGGTCAGTTAATAAAATAGGATCAAGTAAACTATTTCTGGTTGTTCCACGCCTAGTCGGCTCATTAATAACGTTAGTTAAGTCCATTTCCAACATGACTTGGTGTAAAATATGATTACGTGATAACGTTAGCATATCTACATTTATATCACCAACAATAATAACATTCGAAGTAATTTCTAAAGCTTTTTCAATCGAATACTTAAAATTCTCCCAAAAAGGGTGACGTGAATTTTCTGGTCTATAAACGGTACATATTAATACACTATTGTGACCTAATTCTACCTGTATCCAAATTATTTCTCCATCCAGAAATTCGAGATCATTCCTCCGGACACATTTTAAGGAAACAGAATAATATACTAAGATACCACCACCGGAGAAATTTCTGTCTTTTCTAAATGGTTCCACAAAACCCGGTAGAACTAGTTCAGCAGTAGGTACATACTCATCCAAATGTGTTTTAGTCATACATAAAATATTGAATTCATTTGTAATATTTTCAATATATTTTAATTTATTCCTTATACTTCTAACATTCAAATGAAATAGAGCTAATTCATTTACTGATGGACCTGGATTAGTTTCTACATCCATGTCCAATAGAAGTAACAACAACAAAATATGGCAAAAATTTATGTTTTGAAACTGTGATTGTAAGCACATCAACATGAAAGATGCTACGCTTGCTTTAACACTAGATATAAAAAGAGTTTTGTAAAATATGTGTTCATTCGATATATAATCAGTATTAATGTGTATTACACTACGTATTTTTTTAAAACATGATCCTCCATAAGCTATATTATAAAAGCAACCGATTGAAATCCTGTGCGATATTGCTGACATATCACCGATTAACAATTATCAAAAACAACATATTGCACAGGATTCCCCCCGGGAGCGTCTAAAGAAAACATATACATGTAACACCTGTCAAAGAAAAGAACTTCTTTGTATGTACGCATGAATGACTGCACGTGCCAAGTAGTCGATCTACGGTCAAGATAGGGTAAACAGAGATAAAGTTGACAGGGGAGATAACAGAGAAGTAGTAGAAAGAAGAATTTAAAGAGTAAACATGGCTGATGATTCAGCAGCGGTTTTATGGTTTTAGCAATACAAAAATACGAAAAAAATGGGATTTATCAATGACGATATGTATTATTGTACAATATTCACATTACCAGTGTCGATGTGTTCATTATTCGCATGCAACTTATCAACTAGAACAAACATGAAACACACACATACATGTATATATAACAACGTATTTACAACCCCTAATATTGAAAAACTCATGCATGAATTTGAAAAAACACAAATAATTCATTTTACAAATACACATGCATGTACACCTATTTATACTTACACTATAAGTTATTTATTTTCAAAACTGATTTGCCTTTCAGTAAGGAGTAAGTTCATGGACATACACGAATATACACATACATATATATATATATACAAGCATGCTTGCATACATACATACATATATAAGCAGCATGCATGTGATATTTAATTTGCTATGCATACAAGTAAACGTTCACATATATTATATTATATATAGTATTTAAATACTCGTGCATGTATATGAAATTAAATTAAATTAAATATCTCACCCGAACATACACAGAGTATATACACATACACTTATGGTTATACACA